CGGTATTTATTGCTGATAAAGTGACGACGGCCTTCTATCGCCCGTAGTGACAAAAAATTGACTTACCAATGACAGACCTCACGAAAGGCTACTACTAGAAGTAACGTTCATACGTTTAAATGCCGGTAACTTGAGATAACAAAAGGTTTGTTGGGTGGGCGAATAATCTGAATAGGAAGTTTTAGCGAAACAGCATTTTTAGATAGGTTGTTGATTGTAAAAACACTAAAAATTGAGGAGAAAGGGTCTCTGAACTAATGCTACATCCTCATTTATGTAGCTTCTTATAAAACTGGGACAATGACGTTCTTTATTTCATATATGAAATTGACTTTTTACTTGCATGACAATTTAACATACGCTTCTACTGGAAGTAACAAATTTTTGGGAATCCGCGGTCTTGCATGGATAAAATTTTGAGTACCTGACCAGTTTAGGGTAATTTTAAAAACATTGTAGACATTCAACTTGGCCTGTTTGGTGTAATGGCACGAATAGAAGTATTTATTAAAAGTTGGTTTGGGCATCTTAAAGTATTGCTACCATATTTTAAACCCTAAACAGGTATCCAGTTTGTCATTGTGCTTATAACCAAGGACTCAAATAATTTAATTCTTATGGCTACCAAGTATTCATCTTGTTTTTTGCCCTTATTGAAAAGATAGATTGCTCCAATTGATTGCTTGACTTAGCTTAGCTCAATAGTTACATTTACCATCAAACAAAATAAAAAAAGATACTGTTCAGGATAAGACCTAATAAGTACTTAAATATATTTGTTGATTAACGCTACTGCTTTATTGTCTATGTGGAAATGTGAATCAAAATATTTCAAAATAACCAACTTTGAAAATCGCATATTAATCAAATGGTTCCAGTTAGATAGGTACCAGATACTATTTACGTTACGTATGTACAATACCTACCTATATTATTTGAAAGTTAATACATTTAAATCGTAATAAACAGAGTGTTGGCACTCCGCCCATGCTAATGTGGATCGAGTATCGTTTTAGTGAAAAATTGTGGGCTGGCAAGTAATTTCGTTTACTTTCACTCAAAGCCGGATCTAAATTTGAACTCCAATGCACTTTGCCGTAGAACAGAACGTGCAATGAAGAAACTCTAACCGATACCTCTCCGCATTGCATGGCCGACCGATCACAGAAGACGCTGGAATTGTGTAATAACTAATTTAATTTAATGAATCACTACGCGGTCATGCAATATCCAAGGAGTGCATAGACCTACACGAAAAACATTTGTAGGGCTGTGGAAAGACCAGCGCGTGAAGAAAAAGGAAAACTTTTAAACATATTTTGTCATTGGAAATTTCATTAAACAGTTTTCTCGATATACATTTCAGTACAGAGTGAAATAACTTTACCTTTTCAAAATCCCTACAAAAAATTTAAAGAATGGTGTCGTTTTATATTTGAAATTTTGGGTCTAAGCGCCAAAATTTCCCCACACGATCTAAGGTGATAGGACCCATGATAACGTATGGCGCAGTGGTGTGGGTAAGCAAAACTGCTCATTCAAGGAGAAATCATGTCCCGTGTCCATCATGCACAGGCTAATACAAGGACAAAACCCAGTAAACATAGCGTTGACGTATAATTAGGCTATACCAGCAAGTAAAAAAAGGTTGAGATTCTAGGAATGTCTATACTGATATAACCATAATCACATACAAATATAAAAGAAATTTTCAAATTCAAAGACCAGCCCGAGATCTTAAAAACACGGTCCCATGATCAGGGACCTTTCCAAGCAGTCTGAATTCGTCTGGTACACAGACAATTCAAAAACCAAGGTATGAGCCGGTGCTGGAATCTTTGGACCTAAGTTGTAAACGATTTCGCTGAGTCTATACAGCCACACTCGCAACCTGCGGCCCGAAACATAATTATTAGGAAGTTGATTTTTCAAAACTTTGGATTTCTAAGTTATTAAAATCTTGAACGAAATACGCGAGAACATTCATCGGTCGTTAGGCTAAATATCACGCTAATGTTTAAATAAACGTTTGGATGCATTTAGGTTTTGTGTTTTATTTATTACATGGGCAGTAAATGTAAAATCAGGTCTCTACTAATTTTAAATGGATGACCTAACAAAAGAGCATCTCCCAAAAATGTTTCGGCCTGTGTAACATAGCAAACATTAACATAATTATGCGTGTGGCCCTAAGGAAAAAAAGGTTGCGTAAAGCTGGTCTAGAAGAATATTCAACAGTGTTCCTTGCCGAAATAATAGCCATATTATACTGTTCAAGAGAAATAATCAGTAATACCAGGCAAAACGATTACCATCTACTCTGACTCCCAAGAAGCTCTAAAGGCAATTATCTTACCAGAAATAAAATCACGACTGGGGAAAGACTATCTAGAGTACCTGAGAGAGCTAAAGTAGTCAAAATAAAGTGCCCTAGCCTGGGTATCAGGCCACGAATGATATCAGGGCAATGAAAAGGCTGACGAACTATCTCGAAAACGCTAATATAAGTCAATGACAAGCCCCGATCCCTTCTATGGAGTTACTATAGCAGGGGCAGAAGTTGGAAAGGCTTTTGGTAGGTAGAGAGGGGGTAAACGTCAAGCCGTGTCGAACGACTTCGAGAATTTCGCAGTAATATTTACCTGGCAGTGTCCTTTCATAGAATAAATAATTTTAAATTGTTACCGGCGGAACCGGACAATCTCATGTATTTATGGACTATAAATAATTATTAAACATGTATTTATATTATCCAAATCATAATTCTATAAAATTTCAACAGCTATTCACATGCTATTAAACTATTTACTCGAAATTGTTATTAACATCTATAAAATAAATTTGTACGCCAATGTATCGCGACCACTTCGGTTAGATCCGCTGCAAACCTGTCAATTTATGTGTATGAAGTGGGAGAACAGGCAAAACCACTCGCGTATCGGGGACAACACTAATGATTTGTAGTGCGCATGTCGTAGGCGTTTTATTTGTACATCGGTCTCCTTTTGACAGAGTAGGTGAGCTGTGTCCAGGCCGTTGGTGTTTACGCCGGTCGGCGTAGCCAGATATGGATTGAAATTTTCTGGTGGCGGCGAATCCGCCACCCTCTAGGAGAAGTCATTGCTTCGTCTTCTTGTTGTCACGACATTATTTTTATTTGTTCATGTATGTGAAATTTGCTTTTAAGGTTTATAAAATACTACTGCTAGTCACAGCGTAAATGAAAACAAACAAGACGCATTCACACAAACACCTCCCACCACAGCAATTACAAATCATTAGTGTTGTCCCCGATACGCGAGTGACAAAAGCGTTTCCAAGGCATCTACCATACTCATAACATTGTCAAGTTTAATAAATAAAAAAATGTAGAATTTGTTTAGCATACCAATAAATTATAAATTTAATAAATTTATATATTGTCAAACAAAACGGAATAAAAAATTTTTTTAGAACAGAACCTAATCTATTTTTTTTATAAAATGACATAGGAAATACATAACTATTTATGACATGATACAATTATACAAAAAAGACGAGAGTACGAGGATGTCAATCGTTTTCGATTATTTTTCGTTTATGGGCGCCTTTGTCTGTTAAATTTATTTTATTAATGTGTTGGATTAAACTGCTTTTTTGTGTTTTTTCTGTGAAACTTGTTTTTTTAATAACATTAATGGGAAAGGTACTTTTAGATAAAGCAACTAAAAATAACTTTTTTGTCTGTCTCTTCGATTAAATTGTATTTCGCTTGGATTTCGAGAAAAAAACAAATAAGAATTGTTTCTAAACACAATGTATACTAGGAAAAACAAGTCATAAAAGTAATTTTAAAAAATCGACTTTAAAATCGTGCAAGTGCCATCACAAATTGAGTTTGCTGATTTTCTCATAGATTTCATCACCAGATCAAAATGCGCATGCTTATCTGTCGTGGTCATGTCGCGAAATAGTAGTTTGTGCAACGAGAGTGGATATGATGGCCACTCGAGTTGTACAGTATATTTTTTCTACGACCCACTAACGAAAATTTACAAATAAAAAAATATTTTAGGTTATTAAGACAAAATAAGTAATTTTAAAATTATTTATAACTTTTAATAATTTTTAAAATAAAATATACATTATATACAATATATACGCAGAATCGAACTCCAATCTTTCGGGTGGAAGGTGAGAACGCTAACCACAACACCACCTAATCTTTTTTTTTTGTTGCTTTAGGTAATACTCGTAATTAAATTGACTTAATATAGTTTTATTTAAATTAACAAATTATTTATAATTATAGACGAAATAAAAACAAAAATGCTATTATTTATCGATTCTACACAAGAATAACCCATTTTAACGTGTGTTTATTCTCAATAACTAAAAAAATATACTGACAATTAGTTTGACAGAATTGACACTTATTTCAAATTTTAAAAATAATAGCAGTCGGTTGATCAAAATATGAACGGTGATTGGTGGATTTAATTTTTGTTGCAGTGTTCTCACTACTTAGAATGGATATGAAATATATTCGTTCAGTTGAAGGCAATAGCATACTTTTTCGTTTTATCTGTGCGGAGATAAGCTAATATCCATGTGGGTGTAGAAAAAATCTATTATATCTTTCTACAACACTGAAAGTTTTTTACCTAAATCTGTACTGAAATCTATATTCCGTCATTGTGAACCCTCAATATATTGGCTGCAGCCGCCACTGCCACATTCCATAAGATATTCGCATATATTTACAAAAATAATCGTAAAAATGTATTCTACTGTGCGCATATTTTGCGGAGACGGCTTTAAGGATTCAGAATTGTAGGTTCCTTTTGATTTTTTTATAATCTCTGCACACGGCATATGAGTTCTGTATAAAAAAAATGTAACTCTCAATCAACTGTGCATGCGTTGGGCGTTGGTGCAATATTATTTTTGTATCCATTTTCCTTGTCTACTTGCTCGTCTAGCTATGAAAAGTCTTTGATAGATTACTATTGCTGCTGCCATCTACTATCGATTTTAGACACTCCAGTTTTGGTATATAAAAAATATAAATGGCATTTATTAAACAAAACAAAAAATTTTAATTTATTTAATAATGTAGTGTTTTGAATATTTTGTAAAAAATCTTGTTGAACAAGACACCGATAATTTTAAAAACCGAATAATCGAATTGTCACCCAGCCCATCTGTCAATGAATGTGCCAATGCCAGAAGAATTGTATTAAATTTTTATAATTAATTAACCTTTTCCACGAAACAAATGTAACATTATTGAATCTAATAATCGAAATATTTCTCATTACCCCGTCTGTCTACTGTTTAGGTAACGTTTTACATGAACAAAAACAATCTGTACCAATCGCTTTCAAGTTGTCCCCCAAAAAGGCAACCAAAACGGATTCGTATAAATTATTGAAGCCCTATGGGGGTTGATATAAACGCAGTCCACTTAGGGCTGCTACAGCAATGGGAAATTGTTTCAACAGCTGCCTCCCTAACCAGTCGGGTGCTGCCAGAGCCTTTAAAACTTTTAATATACTTGACAACGAAAGCACTGCTGTTGACTTCACATTCCTTGTCGAAGAGGTATGCAAGCAAATCATTTTTTATTTATTGATAACAGTATTTTTTAGTTCAGTAGATTGGTGAAAAATATTTGAATTATTTTTTTTATTTCAGAATGCTTCTGTTACTAAAGAAGAGAAAAGGTAAATCATTACTTTAGTAGTTAAAAAATATATTTGTAAAATTTGTTTCATTTTTTTCATGCGTTCGCAAAATAGAAGTTTTCTTTCTCGATTATTTAAAAAGAGAGCAAATAAAAAGGTAATATTTTATAATATTCTCACTGGATGCTTAAAGCTCAGCATGATAGCACTAAAATACACTCTTTTATTGAAGCAATACAACTTTTATGTGATGTTATTTTTAAATTTCCATAATCAATGTCTAAACTACCTTGAACTACATATTATTTGTTTAAAATAAATAAAGTATTTAAGGTTAAAGAATTTACTTTAAATATAACTTTCAGGAAAACATTGACTTTTCGGCATTAATTTTAATATTGAAAACTTTTCGTAAAGTGTGCCTAGAGGTTGTAAAGATGTCTTAAGAAACGTTTTTTTAGAAATACTTTGAAAATTACTTTTGGTATCTAAACCACATGGAATCATTGATTTGCCTACGAATTTCCTTTAAAATTAAACATAGGTATTTAAACATTTTCTTTCTGTTACAACCCTTATTACGAAAAAATAAAATTAAACCTTCAAAATAATGTTTAGTTTTCCTAAAAGATATGTTTAAAATAATACAAATTTTTTGTGAAACCCAATACTTATCACTAGTTACAAAATTAATATATTTTTTTTGGACAATTTTGTAAAAAAAAACTCAATTGTCTAGATAAACCGTTCCTCAGATATGACCAGACACTGCAGACCCTAACACCAATTTTATTCATAATTGAAAAAGTTTTTGAACAGCTGCTTCTTTATTTTTACACTTTTAAAGAATACGCGGTTTTCACCACTTGGCTTTAGATCTAATTCTGAAGAGAGTGCTTGTGTAATATTTTTTCCAATAGCATGTCAATTTTTTTAAGAAAGAACAAATTTTAAAAATTAACACTATCGCTCTCTTCTTATTAGGCATTCCAAGACCTGCCCTGTCCAAATGGCTTTAATTGGGTCAATAATATATAGTTGTTATAGCATTGTGAGCGGTCATATTACCTACATTTTTACTTCCAGGCATGAGCTTATGTTTATTTTGAAATCATATATTTTTTTTTAACTTGTAGTATTACTTATATTTTATACTATACTATAATATACTAATATTTTATTTATTTTATTTATTTATTTATTTATTTATTTATTTATTTATTCATTTATTTGGACATAAGCCCATTTACAATGTGAAATCTAAAATAATTCAGATTTAAAACAATTATACATGCCTTATGAAAATAGTATTAATAAAAACAAAAATAAAGATAAAATGAACAAGATATGTATAGATGAATCCATGAAGAAAACATAGACTAGAAAATTGTAATAAAGATGAAAAGTAGTAAAACTAGTGGAAAGAACAAATGAAAATCGTCCAGAGTTAAGCACCTAAGTGATTGAAAACATGTAAGAGCAAATATAGAGTAATTTGATAAATACTTTTTTTGTTATTATTTTAGTGTCTACCTACATACTCTATTCTATACATTTATTTTATTTTTTAATTTTTTATTCTAGAATTTTTACAAATTCAATATAATTATGAAAGATAAAATTTCTAGATACAGTGGAAAAACGTTTAAATCTAGTGGTGAGCCTAATATCTAACGGTAATAAATTGCATGCTTTTGGCAAAGTATGAATAAAAAATCTATGAATTATTTTTTCTAAATCTTCAGGTGGTTACGAACTCATTAGCAGTACTGCGGGTTTGATATACAGAGGGTAAACTATTCTGGAAGAAATTGTTTTTAAAAGCATATGTACATAAGCTGTGAAAATAAAGTGATTGTATAATGCAAATATCCTCTGTGTATAATAAGTTTGTGTGATATCGTCTTTGTTTCTTGAGTATAATTTTTAAAATGTAATTTTGCGTAATATTTAGTTTCTGTAATGAGTTCCTGTACAATACTCCCCATATAAAGATTCGATAACGGAAGAGTTTTTCAGCTAAAGACTTGTAAATTAGTAATAACAATTTTCTTGAAAGAAACTCTCGTAGTTGATAGAATTTGTGGATAAGCTTCCTCACCATTCTACTCAGATAATCTATATGGTTACCCCATTTTAGATTTTTATCAATAATTATGCCCAAGTACTTGACTTCGTTTGTCTCTTTAATTTCATCTTGCATACCTGTGATTTTTATACTAGTAAAGTCTGGTCTATTAGTTTAAGTAAAGGCGAGATAATTTGTTGATAATTTGTTTGCATTTAACGAAAGTTGATACTCATTGAGCCACCTTTTAACTTTTCCAATACCCAGTTGAACAGCAACTTTAGTTACAGCCCATGCATTTTCACGAAATATAACTGTATCGTCCGCGTAGGATACAATAGTTGTCTCCTTTAATAACGGTAAAAAAGTGTTGATATATGGCAAAAATAGAACTGGGCCGAGGACGGTACCCTGAGGCACCCCTATTTTTACAATCTCAGGTTCACTTATCGTATCGTTAACTTTAACGCATTGTTCCCGATTTGTGAGGTATTTATTAAAAACATCCAACACTATGCCACGAACGCCATAACATTCCAGAATATTAAGGAGCTTTTCGTGGTTGACCGTGTCAAACGCTTTAGCGAGATCCAGAAAAACTGCTATACATTTTTTATTGTCATCTAAACCCTCTGTAATGTCCTTAATAACTGAGCACTTAGCATCACTGGTTGCTTTGCCAGAGCGAAAACCAAACTGCTGTTTATGTAATATATTATTGTGATAAAAAATTTCACTAATCAAGTTTTCAGACACTTTTCAAAAAATTTTCCAAAATTATTACACTAATAATTGGTCTATAGTTTGAAATTTTTGATTTATCTCCAGCTTTATGAATTGGTGTAATTATACAAGATTTAAATTGTCTGGGGACAAGACAATTCAAAAATATTAAGTATATTACATGTTTAAGCGGTTTTAGGATGTATTGATGATTGTTTTTTATAATGTCAGCTGTTATTTTATCAATACCTGGTGAACTATTGCTTTTTAATGAAGATATATGCTCTATTAGTTCATTATCTGAAATTGGATTGAGAAACATAGTGTTAGAATTGTATGATGGGATTTCTGTGTTATTCGTTTTATTTATATTTTTTAGCATATATAGACCAATGTTGATAAAATATTTATTACAGTGATTTAGCCATTTGTTTATTGTGTTTAAATTCAACACCTTCATCATTAACAAAAAGATTTAAAAAAAAAGTTTATTCATTAGTAGCATCAGCGATTATTTGGTAAACTTTTTTTATGTTATTTTTATTGTTTTCAATTTGTCTGTAATAATAGTTATTTTTCATTTTCCAGTTCTGGTGAAAAATGTAGCCCTAATCTTTTTTTTTATTTATCTCTATATTTTATTGACACAATTAATCCTTCTGTTATCCAAGGTTTTATTTTGAATTTTTTTTTCATATATTACGCATGTCAATTTTTGAGTTATCGATGTATTTACTGAATTGACTCAAAAAATTATCAGTTGCAATCTGGGGATCATGTACATTTAAAATGTCATTCTAATTTGCATTTTTAATTTTTGCTTATTAATTTTGGTAATTACTCTTTCATCGAAATTTAAGTTAATTTTTGTGTTTAATTTAGAATTTACCTGTAATGAGACCGGATACTGGTCAGTAATGGATGATCTATACAACTATATATTTCATTGACCCTGTCAATTCCATCAGGCCAACAGGCAACCATTTTGCTTGTAATGCCTAATACAAAATTAAACTTTCCACTGCCATTGGCGTAGCTGTAGAGGGGCTGGGGTGGGCACAGCCACCCCTAGGATGCCTGATGCCCTCTCCCTGAAAGCGATCTAATGTATATAACGACAACACCAAGGAGAAATATTACAGTCAAGGTATTAGAAAGATCCCCTTTTAAAATCCATTAATTACGTGAGGTATTTTTGAGGAGTTTTTGACCCCCCTCCGCCCCCGGCGAGATTTCATAAGATTTTCCTCAACTCCCTTCCCCCTCCCCTATCTTACGTGAGATTTTTCAAAATTTGTGTTTTGGGTGTAAATGCGTTGGATTATTAAAAAAAAAACAAAAACAATATGTTTCATTACTTTTATTTAAGACTAGCAAAGAGTAGTATTTGAGAATATTGCCGTAAGTAATATAACATTTCTAGAAACATTTTTTAATTTAACTTTAACGCAATTTACACCGTTTTCTACTAGAAAAAAATTACGTCAGATTTTCAAAGACCCCCCTCTCCCCCAAGTGAGATTTGGAAAGATTTAGCTTGATCCCATCCCCCCCCACCCTTATACACCTCAAGTAATTAATGGACGCCCCCTTACTGGTAATTGTATTTTTTTATTATCTCAGTCGTTGACCAGCTATCTCTCTTCCCGGTCATCACAAGTACCCCCCCCCCCCCACAATAATGCTACACCAATGCAATGTCCACTGCCTAAAAACTATTTGCGTTTGTAATAGGTCTTTTCCTTTGCATCGAAAGTGTAGCACTGAGCTAAGTCACTTCTGAAAATATCGTTCCATCCATACAATTTGTATATATGGAACGATATTTTCAGAATTGGTGTAGCCCAGTGCTACACTTTCGATGCAAAGAAAAAGACCTATTATGGCGCCTCACTAATTTTGTTAAGGAATATGTCCCTACTGTCAGTAGAATGGTAGAAAGCGAGAATACTTGAGATACAAGTACACCTACAGATGTAATTTTTTTCTTCATTTAATAAATTATCAAAATATTACTGTTTTAATATTAAAATGAATCAAAATAACGAAAAATTATACTTTATTCTTTAAGTCATGAATAAAATAGAAATAAGAATATTTGTGTCAAAAATACACAATAATCTATGAAATATTAATATTTAATAGCTTGTTTAAAGATTGTTCAAACAAATTTATGAGTTTTATTTCTTGACAGAGACCAGTTCTTCAATTGGTTGGCAGTCTACGAAATACCCAATTGTCTGGATACAGTAGATTGTCAGAATCACAACGACTTCCATCTACTGGGTAAGCCAACACTGTTGTTACATTTTCCTTCGTCATTTGAAAAAAAAGCATTTTTAGTATCCCATTATTTTATTTTACATAGATCATGTACAAGCAAAGACATACAACTGCAATGTCTTGACGCCAGGGCTCTATTACAACGAACTGCCACCTCCACTCCTGCTAGCAGTTTAGATTTAGAATGGGAACACGAAACACTACCCATATCAATGGTTCACGATCCATCTGGGAGTTCATGGTAAATATTGACAAATCAAAATCATTTTTCGATCTCACTAGCTTGGTGCTGTCATTTTTGGTATGCAGTATTAATGTGACATAACTGATCCAAACAAAAATTAAAGATTTGGCCATTGATTTTGACGTATGACATATGTAGTTTTCTGTATGGTCCGATATTAACCAAATATCAACCGTAATTAACCAGTATTTTTGACAGCTATTCCTGAAATAAACTCTACCTTTAGGGTATGGTCCTTTATGAACCGAAATATCGGTTACTCGTTCTAAAACTAATCACTCTGCTTGACATTCCTGAAAAAGTGGTTAAATTAGGGACTCGGTTACCTGAAAATGGTGACTCAAATATCAATTCATTATTTTTACGGTTACCATTAATTCGAATGTCGATCTGTAATAAAAGTGACGTAAATCTCTGGCGTGGTCCAAGTGTAACCAACAAATTAGTTGTTTTCAGGAACTGCAGTCAAAAAATCCTGGTTAGTTACGTTTAGTAGTCAGTCACTATCGAACCATACCCTAAGTCGAATGTCAGTCTGTCACAGAAGTGACTCAACTCTCGGCCGTGGTTCAAATGTAACCAACAAAATAGATTTTTTCAGGAACCGCTGTCAAAAATCCTGGTTAGTAGTTGATTAATATCGGACCATGCCTTTAATTTGTCGCGTGAGTTGTACAATGCTGACTGAAAATAACGTTCTGGATAAATGACAGTTATGCATTTAAAAACTTAAATTTTGTCATATATTTGACATTTACGTTCCTGTTGTTCTAAGGACGGCGCTCCCAGAAGACTTGTCTTGCTGTCCAACCACTTCGAACACCCACAACAACGCGAACGCTAGCGACTCCGATTGGTCTCGCGTTTCTTCAGCAAACTCTCTGGAATGGGACAATGTACAAAATTCGATGCACGTAGACGGCGGCAGCCCACCGGTGTCCGAATTGGACACCGATACGCAGATCTTGCTGGGAGAAATCGAGAGACTGACCAGTAAGACGCTGGAAGAGACCGGGAAAGAGTTGTTTAGTTGATTTTAAGTAATGAAAGTAGTAAAGGAAAATCGGTGTTTTAGAAATAGCCCAGTCTATATTAGTTGTTTCGAAAAAATAAACACCGTTTCAGATGACGGTACTCTTTCGATTTTTCCCCAGATCTGAGGAAGTTTGTAGAGTAGATCTGGCAACACCGCACCGCATGATTCAATGGTATGTTCGATAATTACCCAGAAAATTGGTACCGAATAGGACAACACTTCTGATTTATAATATTTTGTGATTAAAGTATTGACAAAATAAATTTATAATTAAGTAGCGGTTTTACCTTTCGGCATCAATTTTCTGATTAATTATAGCAAGTACTTACCATTGAATCATGCGATGCGGTGTTGCTAGATCTACTCGACAAATTTCCCTAAATCTGGAGAAAAGTCGAAAAAGTACCGTAGTATCTGTCATTCTTGTCGGAAAAACGTATTATAGTTGAAATCATTATGCAGTCTGTGAACTATTAATACGCTCTTTCTTTCTCTTCCCTACATATAATACATATTACAGAATAAATTTGATTACAACGCTTTTTGGTGCAGTTACAGTTCACAGTATCGCCATCTGGTTCACGTTGAAAAATTACCCTTTATTCTGACAGTAAATTTAATTTTTGTACCCCAACTTTCCCCCAGACCGACAGTTACCCCTTTTTCTTAAATTTTACCATTTGTATGTTTTACAATGACCTGTTGAAATAATGCATGTTTATATATTATAGACTGGGCTAAAAGTGGTCCTTACCTATTCTTATCATCTTCTTAAATATATCTGTAATAAACTTTTACCAGCTGTACTAGGCTACTGAAACTTGGGAAATTATCTGTTGGTATCAGAAATATTCGTGTATCTCTGTCACAGTGATGTGTAGGTAGATAACGAAAGAAGAAAAAAAGGTTTATATACCAAAGATTTAAAAATAAAACCTTTGGTAATTTTGAGAGGTTTTATATTGTTACAATTGGGCCTATGAGTGGTATTTATAAAGAATTACATTTACCAGGGTCTAAAACTACTACCTATCTATAGTATAATACTGTCCAATTGAAATTTGCTTAATTTTCTTGTCTTAAGACGTTTGATATTGTGAATTGAGGTCGATAGGCATTTATAATAGTTACGAATATGTGATAATATTAGAGTAATAATCAAAAAAGTATGAGGGAATGTTTTTTTACAAAATTTATACTGTACAGGGTTCAATTATGTCGTATAAAAAAATATGTAGGTTTAAAGGAGACTTTCTAGAAAAATTGATTAATTTTAGTCTCAAAAAGTAACTTTTGACAATGAATTAAACAAAATTGCCAACAGTGCTCAATACAAAGTAAAAAAAATGGATTTTTTTTAATTAAATAAATATTTTTTTAAACCCTGTTGCTTTTTTTGATAAAAAAAATCATACGACATAAAGGAACTCTATAAATATTTTAAATTAATTCAATGTAAATATCCAACAAATTGAAATAAATAATATTTCAATTTTGTGCGACAAAACTTGAAAGATGTTTTGCTACAGGGTTACCTATATATACTAACATGAACATGTAGTTTAGTTTTCCTCTCTATATAGTTATATTTTGAACGCGACTTTACAGAGCAAGCAACAGGTCGATGTAAGTATTAAAAAAGATAAGGTCAATTTTTATGAGCGAAAAACTTGGAAAAAGTCAGCTTTTTGGTAGGATTTCCACCAAAGTGACAAGCAACGTACCTTTTACATTGTACAAAAATATTTCCTATGCATTTTGTTATAAATTGGCAGCAGCGTTTTAAATTCCATATACTGGCGCTTTAGATTTGAGGTTGGTTATCAATCAATCGTAGAATATCTGTATTTCTGTTTTATTTTCCTGTTCTATTAACATTATTTGTTTCTCTATGTTGATTTTATATTTCTAATAAGGAAGTCCTTTTTCTAGATGTCTACATTTTTTGAAGATTTTTCGTTTTTAACTTATACAACTAATGGAGCCCCTACACGCACCGATATGGCCTGCAGGCCAAAACGCACAGTTCTGATCAAAAGGCAAGATTTAATCAGCTCATTTCACTCTTCATCTTCACATTAGACAAAAGAGGAGAGGCCAGATGTGAGTCTGATCAAGCACGTGACTTTGAGTTATGGACTGTGCAGTTTAAATCTCACAAAAATCGTAGCGTGTAGGGCCTCCTTAAGTCATCAGTAAAGGCACATTCAGAGATCTGTATCGGTTCCATATTTCTGTAACCCACGGTGAAGTTCTATACCTAATATTTTACCTCTATTATTATATTCTCCTTTATCACATTGAATAGTGTCGGACTTACTCCCCTCTGCCTTAAACCCTCTTTGGTGATAAATTCTTCAAATTGCAAGTTTCCAGTTCTTACATAATTTCTAGTGGTTTTGTATAAACTTTTAATAGCATCGATTAAACTCTGGTTTATTCGTCTCTTTTTTAGACTAGTCTATATTTGCAGCCTGGGAACATTGTCGAACGCTTTTTCTATATCCAAAAAAGCAACATATTTCTTACTTTTTTTTTTAATTTAACTGTTTCTCTTTAAAGAAGTGGTCATGTACACCTCTGCCTTTACAGAAAGCACTGTGATTTTTCTAATTGATGTTCTATTGTGTTTTTTAATCTTTTGTCTCATTTTATACCTTTACCATTTTACTCAATATTGTATTGCCTCTATAGTTTGAACAGTTCTCTATTATCAAATTGCTTGTGCAGAGTTAATAATATACCCAATTCCCATTTATTCAGTATTCGTCTTTCAGTGTAGATTTTATTAAGTAAAAAAGTTAATTTTTCTATTCCTTGTATTCCTAAAGTTTTTAGCATTTCTAATGTAATCCCATCGTGACCTGCAGCTTTACCTCGTTTTAGCTAGTTTATTACTTCCTCAACTTCTTGGTTGGTAATTCCTTCTACTTCATTTCTCTGGTACACAGTACACCTTTCTTTCTCTTCTATTTGATATGCTCCTAGGTATAGTGCCCCTGGATTCTGAAGTGTTACACATTCAGTCAAACTGAATCTGCACTCACTTTTTCTTCTACTACTCTCAGTTTACTGTGTCGAGTCGGCAATGCCCGGTGAGGATCCCTGTTACAATGCGTAGACTGTTCTTACTCAGGCAGATACAGGTTCCCGATCTTTTCTGGTTATATTCACCCAAAAGTATCTTAGTTTGTCTTAGCCCCCAGAGATTGTTCCAATTATAGATTATATTGCCCAATTCCTTTTTAATCTCCTAATATTGTTTTACTGCTGATACCGCAGAACGGCTCAGGTCTCACAAAGGGTGTGTTGGGCCCCTTTCCTTGCGAGACTATCTACTCCGTTCCTGATCATTCTATATCGTCCTTTTTGTCACATTCTCTATCATTAAATGTAGAGGGTGAGGTTTAAGATCACCTCCATTGTGGCCATATGACAGGTTATCATTGCACTGGTGATGCAAACACAAGCTAGTCTTTTGAATTTCCCTCCTTTTTTTTAAACAAAACAACTGCTCTCCCCCATGCTGGGTATTGAATAACACCTAAATAGGAATATGTTGGGGTTCAAATTCTATCATAATTATAAATATCATACTTGATTTATTTATTTTCATTTATGTGGCATATTTCTTCCATTTTGAAATAAAAACTCTTACTGAAATTCTTCTGGGTCCCATTTGTTATTACCAGTCCTTTGGTGGAAATTTTTTCTCAAAAAGTGCAGTTGTTGCTTGTTCATAAAACTGTATTTTATCTCGGATAATTATTGCAATACTGGGTGTTAAACGAGGTTTTAAAAGGCTGTAAATATCGAAATTTATGTTACACTGGTGAACAGGCTTATATACAGGGTGAATCCTAAGTTCATACTTTTTTATTTGTGTATAGAAGTCATTAATCCTTTCACGACGGCCGATGGAAACAGGGGCGCCGCCTCCTTTAGCCGAGCGCGGGAAAGCATGCCTGGAAATTAAATCGGAAAAGTACGGCAGCCGTCTTAAATGGGTTAAAATAAACAACTTTGTTAAAAAAACTAAAGAACAAGAATTTATAATAATTTATTCCAAAATGTATCAAATACGGTCCTGTATAACTTTCGTAGAAAAATATTGATTACATTCATGCTGTTGTAAGAATCATTCACAAAACAACTCTGCGGGGAAATGTTCAAGTTGATCTGCAATAATCAGTGCACTTGGTGGATGTCTATCGATAACATTATTTAAAATGTGTTCTATAAATACACATCATTTTCAATTTACACACACTAGTGACCTACTGAAATCAGGCGACTAAATTATAAAAATTGGTACATGGGAATTGTGATTCATATTCATAAAAAAAATGAAAAAACAAAAACTTAATTCGTTTAACTTTTCTTACACAAGTTCAGTCCCGGATTTAGGTTTAATCCTGTATCTTTTTTATTTTTGAGTTTTTTTTAAGATGTTTAACGACGTCTATATACAGTTAAAAAAGTATCAACCCTGCATAAAACCATATCTAACTTTGTATACCAAGAGACATGTAGGAAAGTAATTTATTTCAATAATTTTTGAGTACAGGAAATTCAGAGTAATCTGTCGAGGGACTGTTGTATATGTCAGTCTCCTATATTGATAATGTTACACACATGTTCGATAGGGATAAAATCCGGAGATATTGTTGGCCATGAGGTTCCACAATTTCTTGAATAAATCAAAACTATTTAAGTGTATAAAAAAATTATTGAAATAAACTTATTACAATTGTCCGTTCTTCTATGTCATTGTAAGTATATTTTTCACCAGTTTTATGAAACAAATGAGTGTTTAGAAAAACAAAATAGTTAAAATAGAGATAATATTGACTAGTTCCACCCGAAAGTGGTTGTGTTTATTAAATTTTCCGTTGCTATATGTCTAAGAAAACATGGGTAGAATAGATGTGTAACGTTGAATACAAAAAAAAAATGAACTCACCAATTAGATGAAAATGTATATACACAACCCGTAGTTTAAATATTTTTTGTATCAAATAGGAATTTCTAATCAACAAAAAGTATCTTATTTTATAATAATATAATAGATAGTTCATATCAGTGTGAGAAGTATAAGTAAATAATGTGCTTAAAAAAGTCAAAACAATCCTAGTACCAAATTTTTTTGCATTGGATTATTTATAAAAAGTCGGACATGTTGTGTTTTTGAACGTATCTGAAATACAACGGGACCAAAACATGCTTTATTAAGCCTTCAAAAAAACCTTTGCCTTAGTTCAATTATTAAAGGAAATAAAACTGATTTGTCTACAAAATGTTATGGAGATATGGAATTATGGCGCCCAAAAATAGTATTTTTGGCATATTGCTGTTTCTGTTACCCCTAGAGAAAAATGTTCTAATATCTGTTATATTTTCATCAAATGAATGGTTTCTGAATTAAATTGTTTAGAAAGTGGGCCGAAAATTTAGAAGTGACGCAAAACTGATACATATTACTAGTTTCCATATTACCAAAGTCAACTCTGTAGAGCAATTTGTTGAGAGGCTGGTACTTTAGTAGTTCAGCCACACGCTGCTTCAGATCCTAGACCAAACCATGTGAATTTTTAATTTGCAGGATTCGTTGTAGGATTTGATGGGTGACATCCAAATTACAAATTGCTGTGCGATACGTTTCAATGATGGGTTGAGTTTTCCTCACCTGTAAGTTAAATGGCACCATCAGTCATCTGTAAGCTCCTAGGGAGATTATTATTATTATTATGGCGCAAAAACTATTTTTGGGCGGCATAAATCAAGCAACTTACTAAGTTAGGATATTATGAGAATGTTAAGGAACATAGTTACTATGAACAGATAAAAAATAACACGTGGCTTAAAGCACCGCATTTATAATTTCAACAAATATTTACGTTTGTTAATGAGCTTTTTCATTGCATTTTTATATTTAAAATTTTATACATTGTTAAAGTTTTGCAATAAGTTAAAAAAAAAAATATGCTAAGAGCTTAATTTTTAATACGATTACATTTCATGCAAAAACATATCATTGAAATAAAATTATAAAAAAAATTGTCTTTTATTTATCGCTATGATGGTTTTTCTATTTCGAAATTTGTGAAACAACCAAATTCGTTTGCTAGATTATTCCTGTGCTTCGGTTCAAAGGTACTTTTTCTTAAATCTAGAAGCCTTTTTGCTAAATCTTCCATTATAACGCCTGGAAATTGAATAAATAAAACTTAAGAAGACTCAATAGTAATCAAAATTTACCTGTACATAAAATTATTTTATTTTTTGTTAAATATCTAATAGTAACGGCAGTTTTAGTAATACATTCTTCAGATAAAAACGGAGGATCCGCTATCACTATATCATAATAATCGGATTTATCTCTAGGAACACCTAATGGTGATTTATAGTCATAAAATACATAATCTTCTCCAAATGCAGAAAATCTTTTATCAAATTCATATAAAGTAACTAAAATAAAAGAAGTACATTAAATATATATGCCTAATTAGTTAAAACTATATTTAATACTTTCACAGCCAGGCTCTGCTTCATGCCGCAATTTTTTATACAATGTGGGGCATGATATTAAAGCTACTTTTCCAGTTTTTCCAACAGCCTGTACCACTATTTTTACCAATATATCAATGGTATTATCATCGTACCAAAATTGACTAAGTTGCTAAAAAAATATAAATATGTTACCATTTTAACCTTTTGAATAAATTCAGTTAATCTTATTGAAAAATAATTACCCAATCTTCTTCAAATGTGACATCTCCATTGTTTATAACATAATTAATTTTACTTTCTCTTTCTTCCTGTTCCTTGTAAAATTCTTGCAATGCCCCAAACGTTTCTACAGATAATTGAGGTAAATCATCATCAGACTCGGAGCCTGACATTTTATAAAAAGTGAGGTTATATCGCTTTGCTCGGACCAATGACATATATAGTTTAATAGACTGTTCATCCATATATAAACAAGACATCGAAAAGCGGGTCATATTCAATGAACTGGAGTGGGGTAGAAAGCCAATGTGCATATTGTATCAATAGAACAAGATGAGACTCTATGGGCGCAGCCATTTTTATTTCTCATCTCACTCGGGAGTATTTATAATAACCATTTTCTGTTTCACATTGTTATTGTTCAATCCACAAGCTGGTGGATCAGACAATAACAAAGTGAAATAGAAAATGGTTGTTATAAATACTCCTGAGTGAGATGAAAAATAACCTGTCTTCACCCATACAGTCGCATCTCAAGCCTATTAGGCATTCCAAACAAATGAATTACCAGTGGGCAGGTTTGGTATATCTAAGGGTGGCGACATATGGTGTATTCTATCTACTTTACGTAAAATCATGAATAATGGATTACATTTAAATATTTTATGTCAAACACAATAAAAATAATATTTAAAAACCCCACCTATACATTTCTTCATAAATTGGCAGGCTTGGCGAGTACTACTTCGAATAAAAATAGCGTCCAAGTTGCAAGACTATGTCGCTACCCCCTTAAATATACAAGAATTTCCCACTGACACCTATTGTTTGACAGGTCGTTGGAATGCCTAATTGACAAGCATTCTACCCCACTCCAGTTCATTTGTCATATTAGGCATTCCAACGACCTGTCCAAATGGCTACCAGTGGGTAATGACAGTTTAGATATGGCAACACTGTTGTCATGTTGTCATTAACAGGGTCAATGATACATATATAGTTATATAGATTGCTCAAAGGTGGTCGTTTACGAGCGGCCATATTGCCTGGCAAATATTTATTAATTTGAATCGGTTTAGCAAAAATGTGTTTTAAAACCAATTTTTAGCCTTTAGATATTTAAAAAAAAATAATTGCTTACATTTTTACTTCAAGGCATAAGCTTATGTTTATTTTGAAAAATATGGATGATCAATCTATGTAACTATCTATTTCATTGACCTTGTCAAATCACCAGGCCTACAGGGTTGCCATAATTTTGCCATATCATAACCCGTCAGAACCCACTGGTAGCCATTCAGTTTGGAATGCCTAATTGCTTGTCTTGCCGAGTGCTCACCAGACAGAATCGGTCTGGCCCAAATGAGTTTAAAACTCATATTTCATCAAACTATAAATTGAATTAAGAACAAAATAATTACCTGTATATTTACTTCAAGACAAGAGCTTGCGTTAGGTTTTTTTAAAAAAGAATATACATTTGTTTGAGTTGTAAAGTCTAGTTTCCAAATTTGTAAAACATTTTAAGAGATCTAACCAATATTGAACATACATGTAAACAATTTTACACTCTTGTGTATGTAACTAACTTTAGACCACTGTATAGTGGCACTATTTGGACACTTGATTATTCTTTTAAAATTTATTTTGCATTTTAAAAGCAGATATTATGCAAAAATTGATTAAATTGTTTAAAAATTTTGCTAAAAGTAAGTATAGCCTTTTCGCATTCTAAAGTTTGTTCCCTTTAGACAAGTATGGATTATTTTGGCGGTGAATGTGAAAATTATTTGATGAATAATAATAAGATTCCACCAGTGGAAATCTGACCAACATCATAATAAAATGGACTACAAAGAGCAATCTTAGTTGACGTCAAAAGATCCGTGTACCTTAGCGTCTGTAAGGAGGGAAGAAAGATTCTGACTTACAGTCACAACTAAGCTTAGTCGACGTAAGTTAGCTCAGAATAGTGGTAAAAAGAAAGCGATCATTAATAAAAAGAAAAATAATCTAGCAAAAGAGTGGTGATTTAGTTGATTCGTTTACAAACAGAATTGTTATTGCTAAAGAACTATATTCTAATAAAACCTTTAGAAATTCTTCAGTATGGTATAATTTGCCCTTCAGAACAAGAAATATTAATATGCCTCTATGTACGTAAGAGTACTACTTGATTGTACCGAAATCCCACTACAGCAAGCCAAATGTCTTTGTTGTAGGCTAAAAAGTTACTCTCAGTACAGAAAGAGGTATACTATTAAAATAATGACTGCTGGTCTCATTATTTACATAAGTAAAGCATACGGTGGTAGAACTTAAGAAAAATATTTTTTTTAACAAAGTTCAATACTTGGAGTGTGTGAATCATTTTTCGATAGTATAATGGTTGACAAAGGCTTTCTTATTGGAAAAATAACAGAAGCTGAAGGTATACAAATTATACAGCCTCCTTCTTCAAAAAAAAAAAACCAATTCAGCCGTCAAAAAGGCTCTACTAAATGCTAAAATTGCTGGAGCTAGAGTTCACATAGAAAGAACCAATCAAGAAACAAAAGTGTTTGTCTCTCTGTATTTTTACTTATGCCCGTTTTTCATCTATTTATGTTGAGTTTTATATTACGATACTTCTCTGTAAACTTTTAAAATCTACTTGTCAAGCCCAGATAGCACTAACTTGAGCATTTGAATATAATACTATTTATGTAATTGTATTTACAATAGAAAATTTATTATTAATATTCATAAAATTAATATAAACGTATTTATCTTGTACCTACTTGTACATGAAAAATGAAATGTTACGTTTTATATTTCTGTAGCTGACAACCCTTTATAAAGCAATTCACCATTTAAATTCAAAAACAAAACAAGTTTTTATACTCAAATAATTAAAAGAACTTAAGGCAGAACATGAGTATAATTATTATAACTTAATAAAATACACATTTCAACAAAATGTTCGACAAAGCAATGACAATGACAATAAAATCTCAACTAGACTAAACTTTCTTCAAAACCGGTCCTGTAAAAGGTTTGTTTACCAGTGAGCACTCATAATTGAGACAAAACACAAACATTGCATGTACTAGACAAAGAGAAAACATCTCCAAGTTTGACCCGCTTTTCATCGTTTTATTTACGTATGGATAAGCAGTCTATATAAACTATATATGTCATTGGCTCGGACCTTTGATGTGAAAGTCAAAACAACTGTATGAGGCGAGTTCGGGTTGCGCACTCCAGAGTGAAGTGCAGTAATTAGGTGTAAACGGGGTGCGCCACTGATCTGTTAAAATAATACAGATCAGTGGGGTGCGCATATCATTTTACTCCTCTTACTCTCGGAGTGCAATGTCAGTTGTCAATGTACCTAAAATTTAATCGTACTTATCAGTAACAACCGTATAAGTTGCTTCCATATTAATGATATTTACGGGAACCAAAAAAAAAGTTTTTTTTACTAAAGAATCAGTCTTATTATCGATTTAAATCACCTTATGCGCATGCCCGATCGGCTCTATCAAGCTAGCGGGCACTCTGTGGCGGCACCATACAAGACCTGGTGGGTTTTTTGTAGCTTTTTTGTAGCTTTTTTGTTACGCTATTTGCGAATTTGTAGCTTTGCCCAGGTCCGAAAAAACAGCGGATCCGCTAGCTTGAATTTCCATAAATTCCATAGTAGCGGCACAGATTCAGACCCAGCTGGTTTTTCGTAACTTTTTTGTAGCTTTTTTGTTACGCTAGTCTCCCTTTTGTAGCTTATACTGAACCTGAGAAAAGCGCGGATCCGCTACCTTAGAGGATATTTTTAGCGGCACCAGCTCGGACCAGACTCATTTTTTGTAGCTTTTTTGTTACGCCTGTCTCCATTTCGTTGCGAGGCCTGAACGTGAGTAATAATCGTTTCTCCATGAGCGTGAGAGAAAAGTGCGTTAATTAAAATCGTTTCAGCCTCTACAAGTAATATGTGCAACTCGATAGTGTGACTATCTGTTGATAGATGGCACCAGTATTGCATTTCACGAATTATGGCCATCTTCCATCCAATATATTGTTGAGAAATTTAGATATAATCCAAAGAAGTAGAGAGGGTAGAACGATAAGGTACCGAATCCTTCCTCCATGCTATGCACAATTTCGTTTTGCCCATTTTGTAAACAAAATTCAGGGACGGTTTAACAACATTTTGTGCAACAATTATAAAATAGTGCATCTAAAAATAATTAACAAGTATAATTTAATACTAAATCGGAATAAAAGCATAAAAAATCATAAATATAAGCAAGATAACAAAGAATTGACGCCAAAAAATCTTACAACAGCCAAAACACAAACAAAAAACAGAGCTGAACATGAACATAATCGCTGAATAAAGTCGATCCTGGAATTAGTGGAATTTGTTTACAGTGCTTTAGGGCAACCTCTCCTTGTCATTTACGTGTGTAAGAGTGGAAGGCTGAAACACGCATAATTTCTACACTCGTGATGGATGCGCAGACGGTACCTCATGGAGGAAGGATTATTATTAGTGCATAGTGTCCAGACTTTTTCATTGACAGAATAATCCTTCCTCCATGATTGACAGTTATCATTCTACCCCTCTCCACTTCATTGATATAATCTCAAAATCGGACATTTGTTTTTAAATGTTTTTTAGTGTTGTTTATGTATTTATACTTTTGTTGAATCAAGAATATTCTTACATCTTTTTTGAATGATTTCCTTAACCAATCGTTTTGCAGTATTTATGGACCAGTGTTTAATTCTGTCGGATCACAACTATGGGGCCTATTCAGTAACTCTGAACGACGTCGTTAATAGACGATAATCGTTCACAGACGACTTTTCTTATTCAGTAGACAACGATTGTCGTTAAAAATAGACAAATATGGTTGTAAAATTGTCGTTCATCAACGATAGCCAAAGAGCTGTCGTTAATAATATGAAGTGTCGTTATAGTGATTTTTGCATTCCCTCTCATTTTTCATTGTTTTAAATAATAAAAGCACTTTTTTACAAATTTTACAACTAAATTGCTATCTACCTAATACAGCAAGTACAATTTGTAAGGAATTTTTTTCTAATTTATTTAATTATTTTAAAAATAAATCTGATTCAAAGTTAGGATTGCCTATTCAACCATTTACTATTCGATTCTTATTAACAGTGCTGTTCTTTGCGAAACAGTAACAGAACCTATATTATGGAAGTACCTATAAT